GTCCCAAGGCTGGCTGGAAGGGCCTGTAGGTGGTTGTTGCCCAGCCACAGCGTGTGTAGATTCCTCAGCAGACAGATCTCCTCAGGCAGGCTCTCCAGTGAGTTGAAGACCAATAACAGTGTCTCCAGTTTCTCCAGGTGCCGAACGCTGGTGGGGATTGTGCCTATTTTGTTGTCACTCACATCCAGAAAGGTGAGGCTCCTCAGCTGGCAGAGGGCTGTGGGCAGCTCGGTGAGGTGGTTGTTGGCCAGGTGGAGGCTGTGCAGCCTCTGAAGTGCCCCCATTTCTGGGGGCAGGGAGCTCAGGCTGTTGTTGCTCAGCGTGAGCCTCTCCAAGCGACTCAAAGCGCCGATTTCAGCAGGGATTTTCTTCAGGTTGTTGGAGTCCATGTAGAGGCAGGTGAGGTTCCTCAGGCAGCTGATCTCTGGGGGCAGCAGCTCCATTCGGTAGCTCAGGCAGCTCTCTCGTTCTGGGCTCATCTCCAGGACCTGCAGCTGGTCCAAGCTGAAGACCCGTGTGGGAACTGACACCAGCTCTCTGCCTGAAATCTTGAGCTTCTTCTTCCCTTCATACTTTGGATCGTGCTCTGTAAGGTACCTCCAGAGTGGGTCAGGGCCTGTAAAGGCACATCTGAAAGAGGTGGCTGCATCCATTGTCCCACCAGAACCGTGGCTGGCTGAACCAAGACGGTCACTGACGAGTTGTTGCAGGCTCCACGGGCAACCTCTGAGTTTTTTGGTGGATCAAGGTCCTCTGTGAGCTTTCCTCTCTGCCAGGCAGGTTACCAACACACAGGCTGACTGTCCGGGTTGCTCGTGTACATCCCACTGAGTAAACACTTGCTGTTCTCACCTGATCAGGTGCTTCCCCTGCGGCTCTGCAGCGTACACAAAACCCAGCTCCTGGGCTGTCACGTTGCCTCTCCTGGCTGCAGGCAGGGAGCTGGTGGCAAATTCATTCCAGCAGTCAGGAAGTGAAAGAGCAGCACTGTGCCTGTGCTTTTCAGCAGATTGGTTCAAATCTTTGTTCCCTTGTAGCTCTCTCGTTTGGGGAGCACCAGGGGTCCTGCTGTCTGAGGGATTCACATCGATCAGTCCTACAGGATTGCAGTGGAAGCACCAAGGTTGAGTAGATAAAGCACATGGTAAATGGGGCAAGAAGAAGACAGACTCATACCTGTTGGCTTTGGAGCTGGGAACCACAAACACATCCTGTTTCCACATCAGTTTGTGTCTTGAACATTCAGCAAACATAATAAAAGGAAGTTCTGAAACCTGGAAGCCCTTCTCCCTCCTTCTGAGTGTATGATCCCCTGCACCACAGAGACACCTTCTTTCTTGTGCTGCACTTGCTCTGGCATATTTAAAAGCAAACTTTCATTACTTGCTGGCATAGCTTTTGTAGGAGACATGTAAAATGTTTGGTTTCTCCCAAGCCATTCAGGACAGTATGTGGTAGGAGAGCAGGGCATTTTCCTGCAAGAAAATCGTGGGCTTGCAGCCTGAGCCTGAGCAAGCCCAGCTTTTTTACTTCATCCTCCAATCCTTAAGGCTCTCAGCCTAAAAAATGCGTAGGACAACCATTTCAAATGCTTGCAAAGACAAGAGGTCTCCCCAGCATCCCACAGTCTAGGAAAGGTAGAAGACAATGTGTTAGAGGTGTGGTCTAAGCAGGTCTACCAAGTCAGGTCTCGTGGAGGGGGAGCATGTCAGCTTTGCTTTCCCACTTCACTCTGTTCTGATCTCCTCAGCCCTGGGTGGTCCCAGTTCTGCTGGAGTATGTGTCCCAGGGCCAAGGGGGTGTGGAGCACACAGATGGGTGGCCACTGCTGGGAGCTCTCTAGCCAGACAATGCTGAGAAGAAGATTTTGGGATCGTTGTTCTACCCTGTGAACTTACACTTTAGGCTCTGCTGTTTTTTTTTAATAGGAAATTTGTAGGGATTTTAGGGCCTGTTACATACCAGCTGTTACCCTTGACTCGGATTCAGAGTTTCAATACCATAACCCTACTGAAATCAAGCCCTGAATTTCCTCCAGATTAATTCTCAGCATCTGTAAGAGAAAACCATCCCACTTGTCTAGTGTTCAGCAGTGTTGTGAGGCTGCTTTGGCATCACAAGCTCCTGGGATGCTGGTGGCTGGAGACAGGCCTGCTGGGCCTCCTGAGAGGGGCTGCACAAGCTATTGAGCTGGGGCTATCACAGCCAAGTATGCAACAGCATCAGCAGATTCTGGGGACACTGAAAGTGGTTACTTCAAGAAAGAGTGGATATTTTACATGAAAAGGATTCAGCAGAACTCAAGAAAGTGGAATAGTTGTTCATAAATAAGAATGGTGACAGTTGCATTGCAGCCAAGGAAAAGTGAGATTTTTCACTTGCAAGGAAAAGTTGCTTACCAGAAATGACAGACCTCACAATTAAGCATAAAAATAAGACTCAGAGCTAAACTCAGCTCCCATCAAGAAAGTGCTGGAAAAGTTATTGAAATGAGAGTAATTTCAGACTTGGATGAAAGCCAACCTCCACATTACCAAGAGGGAAAATTTGTTTCTAAGAATACATTGTGAAATACGTCTGTCCCATGAAATAAACTGAATTGCTGTGTGCTGCCTTCTGCTCAAGCATGCTTATCTCCTCAAATCAAACCCTGAGTTCTTCCTGCAGAGCCAAAGCTGTGGTCAGAGAAAGGTTTTTTGTGATAGTGGACACAGTTCCCTTGTTAAACTTCTGCACACCAGGGGTTTGACCCTGGTTCTTCCTTTACCAAGGTGGCAGGTTCTCTTCTGTCCATCTGGAGGACATCCTCTTCCTGATGTAGATAGCAGCCTCATTGGGAGTGTCACAGCATGATCAATGTCCCTCTGTCAAATTCCTCCCTTGTGCTTTCTGCATAAGGTCCACAATCCAAAATGTAAATTAACAAGAGCCAGCCCATATTTTCAACACACAATCCCCTAGAGACCCAGCAAGAAATTCTCATCCTCAGTTTAGAAAAACTCCAAGACTATTGCCAGCACCAATATTCTTGAGTTAAGCTATGTAAAGTATTAAGAAGTTAGCCCTTACAGTGAAAATCCACTTTGTAGGGGAACACTAAATCCCAGTCTCCTGTTCCTCACATCTTCATGCTTCTCTAATCACTTGTTCCCATTTCACAAGTCAGAAGACAAAAATCTACATTTGTGACTTTCAGATGTAATCCAGCTTGCTGAGCCTAAGCAGGCTTTGTTCTCCCAATTCAACTGTACCATTTACAATGGTGTTGAAAGTCTGGACTCTGATGGACACTTAGCACCTCAAGCACCTCAGACAGTTGTTGAAAGAGGGACATAGGAGGCACCAGGGTGGGCAGCTCTTCCCCCAGCAGCACTGGCTCTGCAGAGACAGCAGCATGGGGGACTCCTCGTGGTCTCTGATGATGGATGCTCACCCCTATGCAGGGCTGTAGACTGGGGCCAGAGTTTACCTTCATCCCCAGGCTGGCTCTGTCCTTGTGCTGCTCCTCCTCCTCGTGCCATGGAGCAGCAACCTTAACCCTCAGCAGCACTGGACTCCAGCTCATGCACACTGAAAGATGTGGTAAAGGACTTTTTCAGTCTGTGTATTTACTGGTGAGTTTGTGCAGTCATCTTAAGAAAATTTTCTGCTTATTTCCTGGCACAAACCCCATACAGGTTTGTGCCACAACCTTATCCCTCTCCACCCAAGCTGCCTGGCTGCTAGTCACACAGCACCCAACTCATCATCCATGGCACACACATCTCTGCTCCAGCTCTCTGGGAGAGTGAGTCAGTAATGGTCACCCACTGCAGATCCAGAAAAACCCCCCTGGGTCCTACATCATGTGTGCCAGTCCCCTGTCAAGTGTCTCTGGCACACACAACATCACTGGATGGTGATACCCAGCAATGCCAAGGCATCAAGTCCTGCTCCAGAAGCTTCCAAAATGCAATCTATAGCAGGGCAGAGCTTGGCCACTTTCCACATTAAAAGCCTAAGCCATCACTAAACCCTATTTTCTTTTTTTAAAAAATAATTTCAATTATTATTTTCAGATTTTTTTAAAAATTAGTTGTTGCAACCCTTTTATTTTTCCTCTGGAAACACAAATGCAAACATTTCATTTAGTCCTCAACACAGAAGTCTTGCTTTAATTACACATCTCCAAATAAATGTGTAGAACAGATTTCAGCCTTACACAGTTTAATTAACCCATATTTACAAGAGGTGGGAAAAGGACAGCTCATGAAATGAGCATCACAAGGCTGGACTGAGAAGAGCATTCACAAGTGACAAAGAAGGGCTATAAATCAGTCCCTGCTACAGCTTCCAAAAAACAGCTAATTCAAAACTACTTAGAGAAGAAGTACAAATTGTTAAATAATTTAACACAGAAACGTATTTTCCCCAAATGATCCTGGTGGTTTGGTTTTTAATTTATTGGAGAAGCAAAAGGTTTAATAGAATAATGGTCTGTTTGCTAGAATTGCAATCATTTATACACACAGAAAACAACCCACGGTGATGCCATAAACACCATATGTATTCAGCACCTTTTTTAACATGTGAATAATACATTTTCTGGCTTTCTAATGCAACTTTAACAGTACATGCTCTCTTACCACAGACAAAAAAAAAATCCAACAAAAATAGCTGCGTATTCCTGGGTTTAAATCATCTGAGATTCAATGAACTGACTTTATTGTGATGCACTATCTGTGTTGTTGCAGAGACAGGAATACTGAAGTGCAAAAGCCAACAGCCCTCCCTTGCTCACAAGTGGCTAGAGGAGAGGCCACCAGCACTGTCCCTGCCCCCTCTGCCACCTCCTGCCTGCACGGTCACCTTGCTAGGTGCTGGACAACAAAACGTGTCTGCTTGTGACCTTCCAGCACACACAGTCACCTGCTCAGGCACAGAAGCATCTGCATTTTCTGGAGGGCAGCTTCTGACCATGCCCAGGGCTGTATCTGTAGATTTACTCTCTGCCCAGATGGCAGACCTAATTTGGAAAGTAATCTCAGGCCACCTTTCCAAAGACTGCAAATACCCATGAACACACTGAGGCAAAAACTGTGGCAGATTTTGGTGTTGGAGCTTTCAAGGCAGAAATTCTGTAAATACATCCCCCCTTTTCTTACCTTTTCTTGCAGGTGACTTTTTAGGCACATTCACACAGGGCTGGCTCCTGTAAGAGGTGGCAGCAAGACAAGCCTCCCTTCGAGGACTGGACCCTTAGAAACTGGGTGACCACAAACACAAGTCTCCACGTGGGTCTGCAGCATGTGTCTGTTACTCCTCTCTCTAGTGAGAAATTCTGCTTGGTTACTGCTACTGAACTGGCTGGGGAGAAAATGGGATTTAAGAAAAAGCAGGGAAATGGCACCCAGTGAATTCAGGGCACAGAGGGAGCCTGGGGTGTCCCCAGGAACAGACAGCCATATGCCAGAGAATATGCTGCAGCAAAGGGCATTAGGCTGCATCTCCTTTTTTGGGTGGAGAAGCTGCAGAGCTGTAGTCTCTGCCCACCCCATGCACGCCTTTTAATTGCTATTGAAGATATTTGTGTCCCTCACCTTCTAACACAGACTCTTGGCAATGGTTCCAACAAACATTCAGATGAAAAGGGTTTTCAATGAAAAGCAAACCC